TCATAGTGACCCCTCCTTGGGTTTCCGAGGCAGTATCACTACGGAAGTAGGATTGCCCAACCTTCCTTCCGAGGAGTGGCTGGTGGGTTTGAACCAGTAGCCCCTTAATAGCAATTTGCCGATAGTACTTATAGAATGTAAATATAACTACTGCAGCTGAAACCTTTGCTAAAACAATTTGGAATTTAAGACTTATTCCAAGAACATAGTAGGCTCCAGCACACACAGTAGGATTTTTATATCCTTAAAGAAAAAATTACTTCTGGGAATATCTTTTTGTCATTTGCCTTAGAATAGAATACAGACTAGCAGATTAAATCTCCATTAATTTTGCTTTGTGAGGCTTCCAGATAAAATAGCACTCTTTTAAGTTCCTTTCTAAGAAAGAGTGAAGAACCCAATGAATATAATTTGGTTTCAAAAAAGTGTCAGAAATCACTGAAAATACAACAATGGAATTAAATGCAAATCAAACCATATTATTAGATAGCCACCTTGTTGTATTGTATGGAATTCTTGGGGTTGGCTGTTTGAGACATTAGAAATAACTTAAGGATTCAAGGGTTAATGAACATAATCTTCCATTGTAAAAATGCCTAAATGTTGCCAAATAGGTTTTATTTGGTGTTATAGGTACCAGTTTTTGAAATCACATATTTTCTTAAGTTTTAACTAAAAAACAAACAGTGTTTTCTTCTTTGGAAAAAGTTTAGGGATAGAGGTATACTCATTTAAATATCAGCATATTTTTTTATGAAGAAAGACTCCCATTTGGAGGGATTAATGGGCCATTAGGAACCACACACTTTCTGCTCCTTGCCACTACTGCCATTAGTATTTTTTATGACTGGAAGACATAAATGATTAGTCAGAAAATCTAATTTTATAGAAATTCCCTCATGTCCCCAAAAAACCAGATGAATCAAGGTTTTCCGTTTTAATTGATTTTGCAATCATCTATTCCTTGACCCTTCTCCAGTATGTAGTTGTCTTTGGACAAGTAAAATTCTAGGCTAATGTCACTGTAGTGGATACAGCTTATATAACCTATTTCTAATGTTTCCGTTAACCAAAAATAAAAAACCAAGCCCACTGCCATTGAGTCAGTACCAACTATAGCAATCCCCATAGAGTTTCCAAGGCTTTAAAGAAGTAGGTTGCCTCATCTTCCTCCTCTGGAGCAGCTTGTGGGTTCAAACCACCTACCTTTTGTTTAGCAGTCCAATGCTTTAACCGCAGCATCACCAGAGCTCCTTAATTTTTTTATTAGGTTAATATATGTAAGATTGAACCATTTTGTAGGTCAGAAATGGTCACAATATGGCAATCTTACATGGTCCAACCTAGTAATACTCATTTATGTATCTTAGACCACAAGTTATACAGTGATCATATGAAACATTTGGCTTGTGGCAGTTGCAGATTTGGCTCCTGAATCCTTTTCACTTGACCTTGAAGATATTATGGCCCTGTGGTAGCGCAGTGCCTAAGGCATTTGACCGCTAGCCAGAAAGTTAGTTGTTCGAACCCTTGAGCGACTCCACAGAAGGAAGACCAGGCAATCTACTTCCGTAAAGAATTACCACCTCCAAAACCCAGTGGGAGTCACTATGAGTCAGAATCAACTTGATGGCAGTGGATTTGGTTAGTTTGGGAAAGCATAGTTAAATAGGAAACACACAGTGAATATTTTGCATGCTGCATACATTAGCTCATTTAATCTTCACAGAAACTGTTTTAGGAGGATATTGTTTTCATTTAGGATGAGGAAACAGGCACAGGGAGATTAGAAAGTTGCACAGGTCACACATTTGTAACTGAAAAATTATTAAAATGTCTAAAATTTAACAAATATTTTCTTTCTAAAGCTTATAAATTTGTTTTCTTATAGATGGTATTAACAAAAATTGACAAGTCTTCCAAGGGGCATTTCTTAAAACAAGTGCTTCAGATCCAGAAATTTGTTGACACTCAAACTCAAGGATGTTTTCCTCAATTGTTTCCTGTAAGGTAAGAGTTTACTGTTTTTATAACTTTATGTCCTAACAACCCCTAGTATTAAATCACTCCTCCTTAACTTAAGTGTCATTTAAAATTAGAGGAATTTGAAAGGTTATGTACTTAGCCATGAGTCATTTGTACAGTCCAATTGCACTTTGTCTTTTCCTTCCCTGTATTGTTTCTAACCAGAAGGCTGGCGGTTCAAACCCACCAGCCACTCCTCGGACGGAACACTGGGCAATCTACTTATCTACTTCCGTAGAGACAATGCCTCAGAAACCCGAGGGGTTGCTATGAGTCGGATCCGACTCTACAGCAGTGTGTTTCGTTTTGGTTTTGGTATATTGTTTCTTCATTCTGCTGGTTCTTGATAGATTTGCCTTGTACTTTATTCTCTTTCTACCTCAGCCTACTCAGCCCTTGACCACAGAAGTGAAAACTTTTTTGACTTTCAAAATAAACTAAATAATGCCCATAATATCTATTTCTCAATTCAGAAAAAAGAAAAAAAAAAAATCCAATACAGGTAGTGAGGGAATTTTCCATTAAAAGATATAAAGAAAAAATGCTTCATGTACGTTAGAACTGAACGTTGATAGCAGAGGAAATGGTCATTTCCTGAGCTGGTAACTTTTGACATTATAATATGGTTTAGTGATGAAGCATGGGCCTATATTTTCATTGTATACCTTGGATACAGTTAGTAATTTGCACTATGGCAGAGATATAGTCACTTTTTTTGCTCTAATTTCTTTGTGGAAGACACTATGCTAGTTGCTATGAGAAAAAAATATGAGTAATAATTATGTATGAAACTATCCCCTAAAAGTCATTTTAGATTCTGCCAACCTAGGTCAGAAAATTGTTTGGAATTATGAACATGCCTGTCAAAATCAAATTAATTAATTCCTACAAAATACTCCTTCTCACCTTACTTACATTAAGAAATTCATCATGTTCATCCATCTGTGTCGATATATACAATGGGAAATCACAGGAACAAAAATGAAATCCCAATTCTTCTTAGAGCCCTGAGCACTATCATAGAAACAGCTATTTCTTTTTGATCTTTAATACAAAGGAAATGAGGCTTCAGCTAAAAGGCAACACAGACAGAATGGGCAAAACATGGCTTACCTGCAATATTTGTTGAAAAAAATTAGACACTTCAGTTGTCTGTAAGCTTAATGTGAATTAATAGTATAATGTGGCTGGGGAAAAAATGCCAGTGTTAATAGAGTTAGGGTGTTCAAAACAAGGGAAGTCCCACAGTACTGTGAGCTGTGTGCCACTAGACCAGTCAAGTCAGATTGTGGCTCAGCATTAAGAAGTTACGTGAGTTCCAGAGAGGCATTAGCTCAAATAGAAAGATAAGGGCCTTAATGTCAGATAGCCATGATTTTACATGGCTCCTGAACTTACCTGGCAAAAATGTAATTGTTAAAAGGATTAAATAAATTGTGTTGTGACTACTGTACACGAAATAGGCACATAAGTGTTTCCTTCTTTGCCAAAAATCAAAGGGTCAACAGATGGTATGATCAGGCCTACAGTTCAGACTATCAGATTCCTAGTACTTTGTAGAGCTGTTCCTTTCTGTAAATACACCAGCATTCTTTGCTGTATGATCCTGGAATCACTGCTGCTACTGTACTTCCCATAGGTGATCAAGGCACTACAGTCTCACAGCTCCCAAAATCTTGGAGTTAAGACATGGGAGCCCACTGGCTATTAAGAACTTTAGTATTCAGTATACTACAGTAACCATATACAGCAAGAAGATGACAGGCTGACCTTCAGCATGACCAAGCCCCAGCCATCCCTCTAGAAAGGAGTCTAGCCTTTTCACAAAATGGCTAATATAAAAGCCAAGTGTTATTTCCTTTTTTGCCTGTGTACTCTTGGTGGGGAAACAAATGAAAAGTGTGGGGTAAATATGTTTTTATGCCTGCAGGCAAAAGGTTAGGGCTAACCATTGTGTCGCAGCTCTTCCCCAGCAGGGTAAACCAGAACAACCAAACTCATTGCCGTCGAGTTGATCGCAACTCATAGTAACCCCTCCTTGGGTTTTCAAGGCAGTATCACTATGGAAGTAGATTGTCCAATCTTCCTTCCGAGGAATGGCTAATGGGTTGAACCGCCAGCCTTCTTGTTAGCAGTCAATGCCTTAGGCACTACACCAGAAGTATAAATGGTGAAATGCCCTATAAGGATGCTGGGATCAGTCTATTAGCATTTTTAGAAATGGTATGGAAAAATAAGTAGGCACAGTATAATTGTTTCTATGGTTTTCTATGGAGTGAAAATTCCAAGCAGATAAGAACTGACTAAAAACAGAAGACATTATCTGAGTTGCCAGAAATGTAGGAAGTGCATTTAAGGTACCATATTTAGTGGGCAAACTATCCGACTCTTACCTCTCCTTTATATTGTGTATGTACAACCTCAGTCTTAATCCAGGAGTCATTATGAGCTATTAATGAAGTGGGAAGCTTTGGTCAAAATGTCTAATATGCTGCACAGTCAAGAAGCAAAACAGCAGAAAATACTTGACCTGCTTATAAAGCCATATTGTATCCATGCCTAGGAAACCATGTGGTTGATCTCCATACGGATGGATGGATGGATGGATGGATGGATGAATATAATAGCATAGATAGATAGATAATAAATAACAGTAACGGTGATATTAAAAACTAAAATGTCTAAATTATTAAGGGGGTTCATTTTTTGTCAAAAAGACAACAAACTAAAGATATCAAAATGTATATATTTTTTAAGTTTAAATTCAAATTATTACCTGTGAGATAAGGAAGAAAGTGGTTTTTCTTTTCTTTTCACAGTGCTGTAACCTATTCTGGAATCCATCTTTTGAGATGCTTTTTAGCAACTATAACAGGAAATCTTAAGCAAGTATGAAAGGAAATTGACTTTCATTTTAGCTGAAGATTCAGAATTCTTTATGCCAGCTGGAGTTATACCTAGAAGAATTTCAACATTGTTTTAAATGTTGTATCTGTAAGTTGCAAGATTGCTTCAGCTTTAAAATCTACATCTTCCCAAAGAAGGAATTTGTATAAGGCAGTTTACAAATAATTGAGTTATGCTGTTCATTAGAACAGATACTAGCTCTTACTCCTGTTTAACAAACTGACAAGCAAGCACTTACAGAAGTCCATAAAAGGGAAAATCTATTACTACTGTGTAGAGAAGAGTTTGCCATGTTATTTATTGGGCTTTTGTTTTTAAAGAATATCTATCATGTACACATATTTTTTAAATATTAAAATGGGCTAGGTAAAAGGGCTGCTTGTCTGTAGGTTCATGGATAAATGTTCCTTTTTATGCCTATAATTTGTTTCTTGAGTCTTTTCTTTTTTAATATAAAAGAGTAATTCTTGGAAAGTTTAAATTAGTCCATGCTAAAAATGTCTGTAATTTCTGGCTAAGGTCATTCATCTTTGTAGATACCAGGATATGACTAGAATTCTATTTCTAGTTCTAATGTTAATTATATGCAGGATCTTGGACAGATTACTTGCTATCTTTGAGCCTCATTTGTAACCATCTAGTCTCAGAAGGGATAGAGATTAACATGGCAAATATGTGTGAAAAGGACATCTGCAAATTTGTAAAGCAAAACCACCCAAAGAATACAGCACAATGCACAGGCAGATCTGTCACACAAAAAATCCTGTCATGAGGAAATAATATTTTCTGTAGTGAAAGGCAAAAACAAAAATAGCTTTAGTGGCAAAACTGACTTGCAAAAGGCAAGAGAAAACAATGTGACAATTTAGAATTGGTACATTAAGATTCAGAACAATAAAGCCTTACTTTGAACTAAGGTTAATGGAAAAGATGTTTATAAAGATGCCACTGACCTACTAATAGAAGAGGTTTAACCTTTTCAAAGTGATACTGAATGTATAACCTTAAGGTTATAGCTATGTTGTTGTTGTTTTGTGCCGTCAAGTCGGACTCCACTCATAGCGACCCTTCCTTGGGTTTCCGAGGCAGTATCACTACAGAAGTAGATTGCCCATCTTCCTTCCAAGGAGTGGTTGGCAGGTTTGAACCACCAGCCTTCTGGTTAGCAGTCTGGTGCCTTAGGCACTATGCTACTAGAGTTCCCAAGGTTATGGCAACTACTTAAAAAAAAAATTCTGTGAAACCACCTTATGACTTTTTAAAGAAAAACTCAATTCTATTTTTTTCATTTTATAGTTGGTAGAGCTTGTCTGTTTTATTCTAACTAGCAGTGTTTTGAGCAGGAAAAAAAAAGACTTTTCTGTAGGCATTCCTGTAGTAAAACAAATAGTGACTAGCAAATTATCTTAGAAGCCACCTTGCTGCTTGCTTTTCTTAGCCTCGGCTCCCCTAAACATAGAACCTGAGACAAAAGCTTGCAATATGGCTAGTCTACAAGTATTTGGAGGAGCTCTGGTAGCATAGTGCCTAAGCCACTTGACTGCTAACCAGAAGGCTGGCGGTTCAAACCCACCAGCCACTCCTTGGAAGGAAGGTTGGGCAATCTACTTCCGTAGTGATGCCTCGGAAACCCAAAGAGGGGTCACTATGAGTCAGGTCTGACTCAACGGCAAACAGCAACACCACCACAAGTATTTGAGAAGTAACCCCAAGGAACAGTGAAATAGAGATCCCAGTGTCAGAGGAGTGAAATGGATGGAAGAAAAACTTAAGGAGGCGTTAGGTTGGCCACCACTGTAAGGCCACTAGTGCTTGACCCTAAGGGACCATCTGAGAAGCCTTATGAAGTGTACCCCAGAATTGTCAGGTGTACGTTTGTGTGTATGCAGGTGCCCTCACACTTATTCCATGTTGTACATGCCATGCAGTTCCTGCAGTTTGTCAGAAGCTTAGGGATAGGATGTGAGAGGTCCCTGGGGGAGTAGGCAAGGTGTGTTGTAACACTGCTCTGAACTGGTTGCCACAGCAGGACTAAAAGCCAAGAGGATTTGATTTATGCTCAGGAGATCCCATACAGTGCTCTCATAAATTACCTCAGTGTTCTAATGACATAAGAAGCAATACAAGTGGTATTTGCTATGACCCTGACTAGTTAAAAATGTTATTTTGTCTTATTTACTAGATAAGTGTATTGGTATATCTAGTATAACCCATTGCCATCGAGTCAATTTCAACTCATAGCAACCCACGTTGGGTTTCTGAGACAGTGAACACGGAAGTAGACTGCCTCATCTTCCTTCCATGGAGCGACTGGTGGGTTTGAACTGCCAGCCTTCTGGTTAGCAGTCAAATGCCTTATGCACTGTACCACCAGAGCTCCTTTATATTTTGTACATACAGTATTTTTAAAAAAATGTACAACAAGTTGTAGTTATCTAGAAAAATGAACTTCCATAGAATACTTATTCCTTATATAAATTATTATTTTGTGGACATGAATGAAGCTTTTTACTATTTTTGCCTGAGTTATAAGGAGTGGGAGATGGAAAATGAAGGCAATAAGAAACTTATTCCAAAGAAGCACTAATTAAGTAGGAAAAAAAATATTGGGCTGATAGTCCACTCTAGGCTTTATAGTTCTGCCTTCTTAGACAACTCACTGAATTACTCGGGTTTTTCCTGAGAGACAGATACTATCTTCCCAAGTTCTATTCAACTATAAGAGTTGCTTCTGGAACAATGCATCTTCAGATGAAGAAACCTAAGCCCAGGACATTCACTAGCCCAGTGGAGTCATATGCCAACAGTACAAGCCAGACTGGACCTTTAATCTAACTATTGTTGTTATTGTCAAGTCGGACTCAACTCATAGCGACCCGTCCTTGGGTTTCCCAGACAGTATCACTATGGAAGTAGATTGCCCAACCTTCCTTCTGAGGAGTGGCTGGTGGGTTTTAACCGCCAGCCTTCTGGTTAGCAGTCAAGTGCCTTAGGCATTACACTACCAGAGCTCCTATCTAACTGCTAGGGACCCTATATTTAATCTTCTGAATGAAAAGTTGAGACATGAAGTCTTAAAAAACGGGGCTACTGAAAGCAAGTGGTTTCGTGAGTATAAACAAATCCCAGGAGATAATCAGGTTCCAACATCAATAAGAGTATATACCAGTTCTCTTACAAATCCATCTCCATTTCCCAATATGTAACAGAACACAGCGAACACAAGGCCACTTACAAGTTATGGCAATTTCTAGACTTATGAACAAGATCTCCATGGTATTCTTCATGTTTTAAGGTACAAAGTAGTTACTACCACTTAATAGGAAGCCAGAAAGAATATAAACAGTGGAAAATGGAGTTTAAGACCTCTGGATTAAATCAGGATGTTTAACAAGGTTTCAAGACAAACCAGTGTTTTAACTGTGAACCACAGAGCACATACATCAAATCACTTGGGCTCCTTGTTAAAAATGCAAGACTCCTGGCCCCAATCCAATCCATCTTTATCAGAAGCTCATGGTTCAGCAGGGATTCAGCATTTTTAAACATACCAGATGGTTCCTAAGGGTGATTTTGATAACTTTACACCAGTGGTTCTCAAACTTTAGGCCTTTTCAGTTTTAAATATACCAGATGATTCAAAGTTTAAGAACTACTGGTACAGTAGACAGTAGGAAAATGTACAGCAGATAGGGAAAGGACCAGGCCAGCTAAAGGACAAAAAGGAAATGTAGAAAATGATACAATGACGAAAGAAAAGGAGGATGTAGTCTATACTAGAGCCCTGGTTTCTTTTTCTGTGAATCTATATATAACAATTTATAAAACTGAGGGATACAACCTACTTATTAAATAGAAGATTAACCTACCTCAAATTCCACATCATTACAAATTATAAATGTTTATATTTTCTTCATCCCTGGGCCTATTTTGTGTCTTTTGTTTTACTTTCTTATCTAGTGCTGCTGTAGCAAATACCACAAGTAGGTGGCTGTAACAAATTTTCTCAGAGTTTATGCACCTAGAAGTCTGAATTCAGGGTGCCAACTCTAGGGAAGACATTCTGTGAGCTCTGAGGGAAGGTTATTGCCTCTTTTTTGGCTTCTATTCCTTGGTGGTCTTCAAGAGTTATGGAATCTATCTTACCCCATCTCTGTTCCTTTATATTTCAAAACATTGACTCAAGACACACCCTACGCTGTATCGTCTCATTCTTTGGCACTGAACAAAGAAACCTATTCTCAAATGGTATTCTACAGGTTAGAATTTATAACACCTGGTCGCTATGAGTCGGGTCTGACTTGATGGCACATAACAACAACAACATTTAAAAAAAACCAAACACTGCTGTGGAGTCGCATTCGACTCATAGCAACCCCTCCCTGGGTTTCCAAGGCAGTATCACTATGAAAGTAGATTGCCGCATTTTCCTTCCAAGGAGTGGCTGGTTAGTTTGAACGCCAGCCTTCTGGTTAGCACTCAAATGCCTCTGGCACCACACCACCAGAGCTCCTAACACCTATTTTGTTGTTGTTGTTATTTTAGGGAGATAGAATTCAATCCCATAACACTATCCTGCTTCTATTTTATTATCTTGTTAATATTTCAACCATAAACCATCTTGTGTCCTTTTTGGAAAAAAAAAGGCTTATTTTGGAATCAATCACTGATGCTCAAATAACCAAAACAGAAAAAAACCTTTTAAAGAACTTCAAAATCATCTTAATATAGACTCTGTGAGATAAGGTAAACAAATGAAGTGAAATAATGATTGTGGCCAATTAGTGGCAAAACACTGATTCCTTTTGATAATCAGTTCTAATCTGTATAAGCAAGACAACACAACCATCACAAGTGACAACCTTGGTATGCTGAGGTGGACTTACTGCAACACAGCCAGGAAGGCGGTGATCTTCCATGTACTTCCTCGCTGCTCCTCACTCCCATCCCAACCCCACTTCCCATTAGGCACAGAGGAGGTTTTGCAAATCTAATTATCCCAAGTCTTAATTCTCTGGTAAATCATATAGTTAACTCAGTTTTTTCACGACCTACCAGCCTCAATCAAGGAATTACATCACAGGAACAGGCTAGGGCAGAAATACCAATCCCTGGCTCAAAGCTGAAGTCAAATAAATATTTATTCATTAAATGACACAATGATACTATAAAAGTTTATTGAACTGAAAACTCCTATGCAGTGTTGCACTAAAGCAACTCCTCTCTCAGTCAGTCCAAGTGGTACTTCAGATCTCAGCAGCTCCACTTAAACAGCAGCTGAATGGTAGGCCAGCTTGTTAATCACTTAAATATGATAAACATCTAAACTCCCATTAAAGCAAAAATGTCATCAATGTCATCTGTCTCCTTAATGATTCCTGGTGTAATATGTTTATTCATTTGGGTCAACGTCCATGAACCAGTTTCATTTTCATTGCTTCCTTTAAGATTTTCATGGTCTAGTTTCTCTTTAGTTCGTATAATAGGGTTTGAAGCTCTGCTACCTGAGAGCTGCTTTCTGTGAGGATAGAGATCAGCTCTATGAACTGTAAGGTTTAAGAGTCTTCGTTCTGCACTGGTATCTGCAGCACCCTTCTGAGGCCCTTGAGGGAACTGCTGAATTTCCTTTAAAAGGATTGACCGCAGCTTTCTCTGTGGCTTCCTTTGTCTCGGTAAAAATTTATCCTGTGATCTTCTTTGTCTCAGATGATGCTTTGAAGTTTTGTTACCTGAGCCACGAAGAAGGCAGTTGCAAATAGATGTTTTTATGCACTCCAGCTTCTTTGGCAAGCTTTAAAGGACAAAGAGAGGAAAAATATTCTCAAGCACTTTTGCCTCCTTTTTAGCTCTACAACTGCCAACTAAACAGAAAAGCACACAAATTATTTGCAAGCCTTATGCCTGTGTAGGGCTGTGTAGATCATAAATTATGGATAACACTGCAAACGTTTAATTGTGCTCATGCAAAACCTGTACATAGACCAAGAGGCAGTAATTCAAACAGAACAAGGGGATACTGCATGGTTTAAACTCAGGAAGGGTGTGTGTCAGGGTTGTATCCTTTCATAACACTTACTCAATCTACAGGCTGAGCAGATAATCTGAGAAGCTGTACTATATGAAGAACACGGCATTAGGACTAGAGGAAGACTCATTAACAACCTGCAGTGCACAGATAACACAACCTCGCTTGCTGAAAGTGAAGGTGACTTGAACCACTTACTGATGAAGATCAAAGATGATAGCCTTCAGTATAGATTACACCTCAAAATAAAGAAAACAAAAATCCTCCAACTGGACCAGTAAGCAACATCATAATAAACATAGACTGAAGTTACCAAGGATTTCATTTTACTTCAATACATAATGTCCACTGAAGCAGCAGTCAAGAAATCAAACAATGTATTGCATTAGGCAAATCTGCTGCACAAGACCTCTTCAAAGTGTTAACAAAAACAAAGATGTGACCTTGAGGACTAAGGTACACCTGACTCATGGTGCTTTCAGTTGCCTCATATACATGCAAAAGGATCAGTTTTTTGTTCTGTTGTACAGAGTCCTAAAAGAAAACCAACTCCACAGAACCTAACAACAGCAGCATGCCTGCTGGTTGATATCAGCATCCCAGAAGCACAATGAAAAGTAAGGAAATAAGAGTTTCGACCCAAATCTGTGTTGGTCAGATTATAACTTCCAATGCAGGTTCTGGCAGATATATTCCCATTATGCACCCAAGTAAAGTAACTCATAAAACTGCCTAGCAAGGTAGCTAAGCAGTGAGATACCTCCACATTTTAGTGCCAGACCTTGTCCCTGCTACCTGCTAATCTGTTCATAATATAACAGGAATGGAGCTGGAGAAAGGATGTATCATGATGAGTAAAATCTGCCAGTACATAAGAACCCATATCTGGATAGGCAGTTGTGGCAAGAAGATGACAAGGAAAAAAGAATAAGCGTGAAAAGTGAGAAGACAGCTTACACTGGTAAACAGCCTTGAGCTACTATAATTGTGGGTTCCAACCGCCAGCCTTCTGGTTAGTAGCCACATGCCTTAAACACTCCACCAGCAGAGCTCCCCAACCTTGACTTCAAGCCCAGTTTTGAACAGAATGCCTCTCTACATCTCAGGCTGAGTTTCTACCCTAGAAGAAATCCCTTTGAGATGGCCACTGGCCTTTAACGGCTCCCCAGTGTAAAAATCTCTCCAAGCAATTCATACCTCAGGAATATTCAACAACTTCTGCCCTGGCTTTTGATCAAAACTTGTTACAAAATGTTCACTATATATTACAATAGTTTTCTAAAAAAGGAGTATCTTTTCCATAACTTTTAAAACAAAGTTGAACATGGGTGCACGGGCTGAACGAGCAGGTATGTCTATGCAAGGGAGAGTGTGCCCAAGACCATGTATAAGGTTGGCAGACAATGTTTCTACAAGTGTATTGGTATGTTCTGTAAGAATTTCCAGGTATATAGTAGAGCTGACAAGGGACGAGGTTGTAGTCACTTCTTGGCCACAGCCAGCTACCCAGAGGGAGTGAGTAGTTGGACCTGTGGGCTCGGGACCACAGTCACAGGGGACTCAACAGGCATAACATACTACACAGAAACACTGTTCCACATCCTACTTTGGTGAGTAGTGACTGGGATCTTAAAAGCTTGCAAGCAGCCATCTAGATGCAAAGATGGGTCTCTCCTCATCCAAAGCAAAGAAGAATGAAGAAAACCAAAATTCATGGAAACAATTAGTCCTAGCAAATGGTACACCATATGATCCTTAGCCTATATAACTATGAGATCAGAAGAACTAGATGGTGCCTGGCTACCACTGTCAGCCACTCAGAGGGGGATCTATGTAGGAGATCCTAGATAGAGTGGGAGAACAATGTGGAACAAAACTCAAAATCATTAAAAAAAAAAAAAAAAAAGGGACCAGGTTTGCTGGTCCGATAGAGCCTGGTGGAACCCCTGAGACTATAGCCCCCAGCTGCCCTTCAGGTCTGGAATTGAGCCTACTCCTGTGGCTTCCAGCCAAACAAAAGACAGGCATATGAGCTGAACATTTACTTTAGGTAGATACACTCCTTGGAGAGATCACTCATGGGAGAAAGAAGGTCTGTGTATGCACAGGGAAACAACTCAGGGGGCAGGAGTGCATGGGAAGGAAAAACACAGGAAAGAGGTAACTATGGGGAGGAGTAAGAGAGGAGCTATTGCATTGTGGGAAATTTCAGTCAATGTCATGAGACAAAGTGTATGCGGGCTGCTGTATGGGAGATAAATTTGCTCTGTAACTCCCCAAATCACAATAAAAATTTTAAAAAAAAGTTGAACAGAATTTAGGCCGTTAAAACACAACCACCATTATAAAGCCCTGAACAGATACATGTCTATACCTATAGATAAAAAAATTACAGTGGATATACAGAGTATTTCTGGAAGGATATATAAAAAACTGGCCAAAGTAGCTACCTGTGTAAAGGGGAAATAAGGATCTGTATACCCATTTGTGTGTGACACTGTTCCCATGGCTATTATTTTCTTGATAAAAAATGTAAAGTTCTCACGTGTCTACCTTCACCTAATGCTTCATGCAACACTAGCTCACAATCAAAGACGGCCATCCTTAAGCAGTTCTATGAACATGAGAATCACAAGAAAAGAAGTGCTACATGGAGAGTCTAACTCCTGTGAACATTACAGCTGACCCGCCCAGCTGGCTGGTGTGTGCCCTGGAAGGAGAAATCTGCTTCTGCCCTCCCAGTCCCCTTCCTACCTGCCCCATCTCTCTCTCTCTCTCTCTCACTCACACACACACACACACACACACACACACACACGCACTCTGAAGCTGTCAGCAGCTGCCTTCTCTCCCACCAGAGCACGAGCTCTGGGAGGATTAAGTCTGTCTCATAGTTGTCTTCCAAGGTTTAGCATACCAAACGCTCCTAATGTTTTCTGAATAAACAAATGGGATGATGAAGAGTATACATTAATAAATCCAGAAACGTAAGTTTACTTTCTTCCTCCCTATGATGCATATTACAGCTCTGTCAACATAACAAAAACAAAAATCAACACTGCAGTTACAGTAGATCCCACTTGTAGCCCCTCAGGCTATTGGACAATTATCTCATTTTAAAGAAAGGGGACTTGGATATATATACATTTCTGTCTTAAAGGACAACAGAACAAGGAATATAATTTTTTGAAATATACTTACCTGTGACCTTGAGCTTCCACGTGTTTAAGCCGGTTACTTTTAAGAAGCTTGTTACCCAGAAAGGTGGCGTGAGCTTTGAGTTTTTTGCTCCTGCACCATACAATCGCCATCTGGATCTCTTCAGAAAGTTGTATGAAAGTCTCAGCCTCTCGGAATCTTTGCACAAAACTTTTGGCCCAGGGAGTTCCTGACACTTTCTGAGAAGAATGCATTGTTGCCTTTATTTTGGACTGAGAACATTTAAATTCCAAGGTCTCCTGAAATGTGCAAAGGTGAGAAAAATATACTGAATTTTTTACTAACTTGTAAATATGTGATAACTGGGAAAAGCTGACTCACAAACTATGAAAATTAAAAAACAGTCTTTATAGAAAACTAAAACTTTCTTTGTTTTTTTAACTCACTGAGCTTTCTTTTTGTCTTAAAAGTCTGTTTCTTAAAAAAAAAAAAAAAATTATTCCATTGCTCCTACCACACGTTTGTTTGCTTCATTTTCACTCTGTACTAGGTCAGGTCGTATCTGTAGATGACCTCACACAGGATTTTACACAGGAGACTTAATATAAATATTCTAACACACACATCTATTTTTACATACACATTAGAATAAAGCACTGTATGATTAATATTGGCCAAAGCCTATCTGAGGGGAAAAAAAGAAATAACACTGGGCAACCATAACTTGTTTCACTTACTTCTATACCTTAAACAACTCTACTCGGTGGTGGGTCACAAATGTTGGTAAAAATGCTTCAAGACAAAACCAAAAAAAAAAAACCTACTGCCATCAAGATGATTCTGACTCATAGCGACCCCCAGTGGATTTCCAGGGCAGTAAATCTTTATGGAAGTAGATTGTCCTGTCTTCCTTCCACAGAAGTGCTGGTGGGTTTGAACCACCAACCTTCTGATTAATAGTCAAATGCCTTAGGCACTGTGCCACGAGAGCTCCTTGCTTCAGTAATGGAAAGGTATAAAGTCTTACAGAGCATCTAGCAGAGTAGGCCTTTAGTAAAAGACTGCTGAATGCATGTTATACATGCTTAACCATGAACCATTTCTAACTGCCCTTCACCCATCTTCTGACATGGTAGCTTTGTTTCTTTAACCCCATCTTTCTATATTGTCAAGTTCGGATTTTACCAACTTCTATTTCTTTATGAAAATATGCCACCTGCTAGGTGTGCTGTCATCTTTCCTTCATACCTTATCTTCTAAATTTATCACCTTAAAAAAAACAGAACATACAAAAGTAGAGACCTATCAAGTTAGTATTTGGTGATGGGTAGAGAAGTGTGGCGTAAAAGAATGTGAGCGTATTAGTGCTAATTAGTAAAAATGTGGTCATTAGTCATGAATAAAAGGGATCTGACCAAAGAGCTTCAAACCCAGCTCACCTGGGAGCAGATGGATGCACTGAAGAGGTTTCAAGGGTCACAAGAAGCCAGTTTCTCCTTCAGAGTTGAGAAAACTATTTTTGGAACTGGTATAATGGTATAGACGGAGACTATGAAACCAGACTGCCTGTATCCAAATCCCAACCCTGCTGCTTATTTACTATGTGGCCCAGACAAGTTTCTTGACCTTTTCATACCTCAATTTCCTCATCTGAAGTATGGAAACAATAATAACTAACTATCTCTCAAAACTGTGGTGAGAATTCAATGTATTAACACATACAAAGCATTCAGAACAATGCCTGGCACAGAGCAAATGCAATTTAATAGCTATTATTCATTCCTCCCTCAGGAATTCATGAATTGAAAAGAATATGCTAGAAGGAGTCCTTAGGAAAGTTCAAGAAAGTACTCTGACTTACTAAAAATGATTAAGAATTCTTAAATAGAAGAAACAACCCATAAAGGAAACCAGGGGAAAAGATTTTGAGAAGACAGACGGCAACCGAAGTCAAGTAAAAGAGCATGATACTGACATATTTCTCTCCTGTTGGGTCCAGAACAAAGAGAATTTCCAGACACTAACTAATAACATAAATCATGTTAAAGCTTGAACCCCAACAGGAAGAAAGCAACAGAAACCTCATGACAAACGGTAAGGATGATGCCAGTGAAGTGCTTGCCATAATCCATATTCTGTGTTGAACACTTCACATGCACTAAAGCTGGTCTAACCCTACAAAGTACATACTGTTATTAGGAAATAGAGGTATGGAGAAGTCAAGAAACTTATGTTAAGATCACACAGCGAGTAGAAGCCAAAGCCAGGACTCACCCATTTCTGTCTGACTGCAAAGTTCATACTCTAAAGCTGCAGTGCAATCCACACATATGATGAATCCTAGCGTCACTTTAATATTCTAGAGAAACTTTTACCAAAATGTTTCTGAAGGCATTCTATTAAATGGCTTAATTGGCTCTATTAAAATCCCATGGAAATGCATCTATTCATTCAGAAGCATACACTGAGCACTAAGGCACTAAGCTTAGAGCTAAGGATAAAAAGAGAGGATCCAACCCTTCCCATTGGTAGTTGATATCCATGCTACACACTAATTAGCAATATTAAAATAAGTCACACAAACCTGAGTAGCTCTGTATTTCAGCTGTCTGCAGAAAGCCCTCACATCAAATTCTGATGAGTTTTCTGTAAATGGAAAAGATCCCAGATACAAAAACTTAGGCATACTATTTTCAAATTTACAACAAACTCTAAAGTGCATGGGAACATTTCTTGCTAAATTACTATTCAAAAAAAGGGGGGGGTTGGAATTAAGCAAGCAAAGAACTATGAAGCAACAACATAAACAACTTTAAATGCTCAAGCTTAGAAAACAGGTATTACCATCCCTGTCTAAAAATAATCAATGTGGGTTAAAATTAAGAAGGGAGATGCTGAGTTTCTCTCCAGGCAGTGCATGATTATATTATAATGTCAACAGATATATCAGGGTATGTGCTATAGAAAAGCAAATTACCTCTGATGACATCTTTACTCTTTACTGGCTGTCCAAGATCCACATTATTCTCTAGATTGGTCTTCATTTGTTTAGCTTTTTTGGTATTTCTAAGTAAGGCTTCTTTGCTGGATGTCAGTGATTGCTCTTTTGTTAAAAACAGTTTATTCAGCAATCTATTTACTCCTTTAGCTGCAAAAGGTATAGGCATTTTTTTCTTAAAGAGCTCAAAATACGGCTGCCCTAGAAATTCAGCAATATCAGAAGGAAAGGTGAAATCTTTAAAGTAAGGCATTGGTTGAATCCTGGAGACCTCTTGTAGCAATCTATACAACGGTTCGTATAAAGAAATCAGCCTTTTTAAAACACCTTTATAGAGAACCCTGGAGAAAGAAACAAGAGTTTATGAATTAGCCAGCAATTATAATTTACAAATTACATAATAACTGCAACAGATTCAAATCTGAAAATAAATGTTTGCCAAGTTCCTCCACTATAGATAGTAGTACAAACAGTGTATTTATTCTGGTTACCTCTGTGCCATTCTAACAGAAGATACCACAAACAGGAATGGCCTTAACAAACAGGAATTATTCTCCTACAGCTTGGGAGGCTAGAAGTCCATGTTCCAAGTGCCAGGCTCTAGGGGCTGGGTGAAAGCCCCTCGACCTTGAGCTTCAGCTCTGCCTCTTGCTCCCGGCCCACTGAAGCTAGAGGCATCTCTTCACTCAGGCAGCTACGGGCTGCTGAGGCTAACAAGCCCAAGGTTGACAAACAAAATGGCACAGTCCTGATGTTACCAAACCACATGGCAGGCCATTAATTCAAGTTCATTGTAAGTCCCAAGGTCGGCAGAGCATGGCAGGCTGCTGAACAATGACACGGCCACATGCAGGGTCCAAGTATGCCATGAGCTAGAGACCATTCCTCAAGGGTTCTCTTTACATACAGGAAGCGGACCACATCCCTAAAGCAGCCACTCAGCTCCTCTAAGACATTCCACCATGGAATTAATTACCAATCTCACCATGGGGAATAACTACCACCAGCTGCCCAGCCACTCAACTTGGCCCAGCCAAGTTGACATACAAATTTAATTACCACAGTATTAGTCTAGCCCAAACAGAAAATCCAAGTGCAAAATGTGACTCAAAACCAAATACAGTACTACACAGAGAAATAGCTCAAAGGATGTGTGTGAAAATGTTAAGTGTGGTTATAATATCTCTTGGTGATAAGATTTTGGCAAATTTCAGGGTTTTCACATTATTCTATACTGTTTCAATTTCTTACAATAAGCATGTATTACTGTTGTAATCAGCAAACCTTAAACCTATTTTCATTACAGAAAAGAATAACAAAGGTTTGACATTTTAACATAATATGATTAGGTAGCATTGTTCCCTCTGATTAAGTTAAACAGAATAAAAAGTAAGCTGATTGGAAATAGTATTTAAGACATCTAGATGAAGTAAAATATGAAAGCAAGTTTTCAATCTCCAAAGTCAGACAGCATTTTCTCCTTTTTTTTACTGATTTTCTTTACATTTAAATCAGAGCTTATCATCTTAATTATTTTAAATGGCCCCAAACAGGCCACCTTACAAATATGGGCAGATTTTGAGTCCAATTATCTATGAGATCAGTTTCACAATATATCATGAAGCATGCAAGAGAAAGTCTCTTTAGTTTTCAAGAACCAGTGTTCTTTAAATCAAGCAGTGGCTTCAAGTGGAAGAAAAGATGTCAGAGCACACACTAAAGTCAAAAATTCCACTTCTCATTGCCATGAAAAATTAGAAGCCTAGTGGCTGAAAGAATCAAGTGACACAGCCAGCCCAAGAACACATAAACAGTCCAAGTGCTGTATGACCACTGCTACTAATCCTAGGAATTTATTTGTTTAGTTGTTTAGTGTTGGGCTGATCCATCCCATGGCTTCAGCTTCAAAGTCTAGTCCTTTGACATAACCCCACATAAATTCTGATTAGATGAAGAAAGGGACCTGTCTGCACCTTCAGCATCCCACATGAAAACTACTATGAGAAGCCTAGACTGAGGTAGAGAGATGAAAAGGGATGAAGGATTTCAGAGGCATGTACATACCATAACCTGCTCACCAGTCCAACCATCACGAGGTTTAAAATAATGAATTCTCGTAAACCAAGATGTTTCACAGTCAAGCTGAAGACTCAAGTTAAGGTTAGAAAACAAAACCAAAATAATTTTCATTTTGTAAGTGATGTTTATGAAAGAACAGATTTGAAGTAAAAGAATTTTCTTGAAGGTATTAAAGCCTTAAAATACGTTCTATTTAAGTGAATTTAAAAAGTAATATACTACTACCCACCAAAAAACCCAATGCCATCAAGTTGATTCCAACTCATAATGACCCTGTAAAACAGAGTAGAACTGCCCCATAGGTTTCCAAGGCTATAAATCTTTTACGGACTCAGACTGCCTTCTCTTTCTTCTGCAGAGTGTGGCTGGTGAGTCTGAACCACCAACCTTTTGGTTAGCAGTTGAATGCATTAACAATTGTAGCACCAGGGCTCCTTCACACTCTACTACGGCCCGCATTATTAAATACATTTCTAAGGTTTAGTTTCTAAGACTAAGCATCTCAAGCTATTAATGCTCTTAGGATACTACATGCTAGATAAAGTCAAGCAGTCTTTGGTAATGGCTGTATCAGCAATTCCTAGGAAAAGGAGGCCAAGAAGCAAAATTTTAAGAATTCCCCACAGGTTTTATCTAACACAGAGTCCCAGCTTTTAAACAGAAGTATTAATAAATATATCCAAACAGTTCCTAGTTGGAAGATATTTAAATTGGCTCAAGGATACAGAAATGTCTTGCAACAACAGTCCAACAAGCGGAGTAACAACTTACAGGCTCCCAAAACCTTCATCAACACCAATTCTACCACTGGTTGACTGGGGATGACACATTCTTTGGTAGTTACAGGCTGATTTTCACTTGACAAAAACAGAAAAGTGTAACACTGTCATCTTTATGTTGCGTGCCGTCGAGTCGACCCCGACTCATAGCGACCCCTCCTTGGGTTTCCGAGGCAGTATCACTACGGAAGTAGGATTGCCCAACCTTCCTTCCGAG